GTCGGTCATTCACTTGGCTGCCTACGGCAGCTTAGTGAATAGACCCCTAAGGTTCGCTTCCAATTTAGACAGAAAGCCTTTTCAAACATGAACAGAAACTGCAACGTAACCAAGACACACCTTGTGTCACAGATTATTCAAATGATTGAGTGAACCACAGTGGATGTGTACAAACCTCAACTCCTACTAATTTCCATAAACAAAATGTGATTTCAAAGCAACCAGGATCATCTCTATTCAAATGTTTCTTGCAGATATAATTTCCTTGGACAGGCAAGTTTGCTGATCTAGCGCCAAATGTAATAAACCATAGTGAGAAGTAATAGCATCGTGGCATAAGACTCCTCATACACAGTTAAACATTTCAGTTCAGTTGAAAGGAACTATATGGCGGGTTTGTACATATTTTCCTTCTTGACTTATTATGATCACAATTGAAAAAAAACAAAACATAATAAAAATTACAATATTTTTCACTTAGGTAAGTATAAAAATATTGAAGATGGAGCGTCAAGCTTCTTTTCACATGTTTTTAGCTCTTTGTCCCTCTGATAAAAAAAAGACCGTGGTTTACAGAGCTCAATAACTTAAACTGAAACTTACACACACACACACGTGAATGAGTCAGAGAAGTGACTCATCCCTGTTTGCTATATCAATTTGTGTGTACAGGGTCTTGTTGTTTACCTACTTTCTGTTAAGCTTTAGTTTACAGATGGATACTTGGACATTTTTCTAAAGAGTTTGTTGGTGCAATACTGAATTCACAGTTCTACAATAGCGAGCCATACTGATCTAAAGGCAGCAAAATAGGCTTCATATGCTGCAGAACAATGTTTGCCTTTAGCCAAACATAACACATATCATTCAAGCCAAAAAATGTTGGTCTCATCCCTCCACAGAACAGTCTTCCAATAGCTTTATGACTGATCCACATAGTCTTTAGCAAAATGTACACATGCAGCAGTGTTCTTTTTGGATAGTATTGGCTTCCTTTTTGCAACCCTGCCATGCATAACACTGTTTAGTGCCCCAGTGATGATGGACTCATGAACACTGACATTCACTATTGCAAGAGAGGCCTAAGGGCCCATTCACACTAGATGCAGTGCGTTCCGCCCCGATTCTGGCCAGAACGCACTGCCTTGCATTGCGTCTGGCTCACTTTTTAGTGGGGCAGGAGGGGCGTGGCGGGTCATTGAAGTGAATGGCACAGTAGCCACGCCCTCCGGCCGCAATGCGATCGCAAGGTACATTGTATGCTTGCGGTCCAGTGCGATCAAAATGCTGCAAGCACTATTTTGATCGGACCGGACCGCAGGCACAATGTTGAAGCCACAATATCTCGGCATGACTCAAGGATCCTTAGGCCACTGCAGTGAAGGGGAGATAGGCTCCAAGTCCTAGCCTAAGAGCAAACGGGCTCAGAGTATCAGGTGAGTATAATTTTTTTTAGCACCTAGCCCCACTGCAAGGGTTAAGAAAAAAATTGCCTTTCTGCTTTAAATAAGGTAGGGCCTCCCACACTAACACATTATTATCCATTGATTGTGACATCAGACTCTAATTACTCTTCAAATTAACTGAAACTCCTAGAGGTTCTCACATACGCTTGCCACACACAAATATATAACGTTGGATTATTTATCTCAATAAATAAATGAACAAGTTCTTATTATGTTCTTTTAGGACTTTCTTAAAAAATGCCTCAATGAGATAGATCGATAGATAGATAGGACAGATTTTACATACACACTTCCTGATCTCTCCTGTGCCCAAACTGGCATACTTCTGCTAAGGAGTATCTGAATTTGCTCATTCTCATTGAACGTGACAGTGTGTGTATTTATTTATTCATTGCTTCACTTCAAATGTATCCGTTTAATGTATGAGCAGCATTTGCATTTATACTGATAACACTTGTAAAAATGTGCAGGAAAAGATTTATCATTGTGCAATATAAAGAGAAGGCAGTGTAGTCAACAGGGATCTAGATAACGAAGACAAAGTTGGACGTTCAATTTGCTTCTTAATGTCTTCAAATAAAGTCTTTCAGTTGTATAAAGTGAGTTACTTTAACATCTATGTACTTTCTAAAGGTGGCCAGAGGCAATAGATGATCCTTATCCTATTCAAGTGCTTATAGCCAGGACGCAATGGTATGTCTTTGGGCAATCTGCGACTTCCCCAGATACTCTCTGGTTGAATGATATCAGGGAAAAATAATGATCTGACAAAATGTATTGGTCAAGTTGCATGTTTCCCACTACCTTCTTTTCCCACATTGGATCTTTTTCCTCACCTCAACAGGAGCAACACATGGACCCAGGCTCAAGAAAGAAAGCCCCATCTGTAGTGTCCAGAGTCTGTCATTTGAGCTCTGCAGGAAGCCTGACTGAGGTCCAATGCTACACAATGTGCAGATTAGAGATGTTAGTTGTATAACAAAAATATGGTCATTCCATCCAAAGCTCATTTGCTTATCTTTTTCAAGGATTCCAACAGTAAGGGCTCTACAACTGATCTCCCAGGTCCACAATAATTTTAGAAGGAGATTACACTCTCGATGCTGGGCAGTTAGGTATCATTAATAGCCATGGAACCCTTAAATTCAGTTCCAAGTTTCACTTTCCTTCTTGGTAAAGGTGTAAACAAATGCCATAATGTACCTGGGACTACCAATTCCAAAACCCCTTCCCTGTCTTAGCCCTTAAAATGCAGTTTTATCTTTTCTTTCTACATTTTTAAGACTAGTGAAAGCTCAATCAAGAAGAAAAGTAGGGAAAATGATGTGAAGAAAAGTTGATTGATACCATAAAAAGGATGGCGAGAATACTGGTAATAAATAAAGTGTGTGTGTGTGTGTGGGTGTGGGGG